GAGAGTTTATATGGAGAATTATTATATGGCTGTGTCTCACAAGGACTGGGAACTACCGAAATCACGAATTTGATTGGCTGAAATCGATATTCACCGCGGTCTAGATTTTCTCATCTAGACCGGCATCTAGACCGGTTTCATTTTGCGTTGAAAAAGTAGCAAACTCAAGTACAAAAATGTTCACCGTTTTCTTTTATTTTCTTCTCAATCGTTTATGAAGTGCCAAAAAGCCTGATGACAAAAAAAAAAAGGTATTAAAAAGAGGAAGAGGAAATTTCGGCAGGTTTAAGTTCAGTTCATCTCCGTTTGCAAGCAAAATGTCAGCAAACCAGTTACATTAAATGGATTAAAGTTTTCTTCTTTACCATATAATAAACATCTTATTAACCGAGCTAAGTAGGTCTGTATGAGAGAATCTTGACCTCGGTCGTGTGTACAGACCTCACTGCGTTCGGTCTGAGCTCACAACCTTGGTCAAGATTCTCGCGTACAGACCTCCTGCTCGGTTAATAAGAGCTAATGGGAGCTGAAATATAAGATCAGAGTTTGTATGTAGATCAGGAGATGAAACTGAAATCGATCAATGTATGGTTAATTCACCGAATAAAGTGTCTAGAACATTCAGCAATGTCATTTCTTGTCATCCTGGTGTGTTGAAACAAGATTTGAGCGAATTTTGATTATTGCATGAATTACTCACTGTGCTATAATAAGAGACTCTCTTATTATAATGCCATAGGTTAAAGAACCTATGAATCTGAATCTATTAGTACTAATTCTAGTCTCCTCCGCAGCTGTTAGTAGGGTCGTCACGCAACGCTTCTTCCCCACTTAGTGGGGGAGAAGCGTTGCGTGACGACCCTAACAACGGCTGCGGAGGAGACTATACTAATTCGAGAGGGCTAGAAAATTGTATCAGGCTAAGAATAAATAATCATTATAAATTAAACAACAACCTTGGTAACAGCAGGGTGTGAAGTGACAGTATCATTCCTTATTAAGAAGTACTCATCTCAAAACTAACTTCATTTGGGTTAACTTAAACATGGCATTGGCACAACTTGGTTTCAGACATAAGGTTTTATTAAGAGAAATGTTTTGAAACAGAAAATTTGGCAAATTTGAATAGCAGTACACTGAGTATTTCAAATAGTCAAGAACAACAGACAGCAAATGTTATATTTTGTTCTTTTTATTACAACTTATGTTATTAAAGGATATACCATAAAGGGTATGTCACATTTTTCTTTCTGTTGTTGCATTAATCCACAAAATTTAGTGACACGAAATGAATAATTACAGCTTTCGATGTGTTTAGACTCCAAAATGTCAATATTAGAGAGCCTAGCTCATACTATGCAATTCTGCCACATAATACAAGTGGGGCTCAAAATCTAATCACATACTTCACAGAAATTCTTTTATGACATATTATTCTACTTTTCATTAATTTTTTGTATAATAACCCACTAATTCTTAAGTCCCTCAGAAGATTTTTTGCCACACAAAATAGCATGCAGATTAAGCAGGTATGTTTTGTAGGTTGCAGATTTTAAAAT